TTTCCTTTTGTATATATACTTTTGTCCATATATTCTTTGCCACTTTTTTTTCTATTGTGATATTCATCATTTCAGTCTTGGCTGCAAATATGTTCTTAGTGCCTTTCCACTGAATGTATAGCTGGAGTCTGTTGCTGGCTTTTTAATGTATGCCTATGTACTTGTATATGCTGGGTGCCTTGTGGAGGCCAGAAGAAGGCATCAGATCTCCTGGAACTAGAGTTACAGACTGTTGTGAGTCACCATGTAGGTGCTGGGAATTGAGCCCACACCCTCTGGATTGGTATCTAGTGCTCTTAACTGATGAACCATCTCTAACCCTTGCTGTTTTGATATTTTATTATTATGTGTATCTATGATGTGTATTCATGAATGCTGGTGTTCAGTGTATGTATGGAGGTTTCTAGGTCTGTTTTCAGAAATCTGTTCTCCTTCTGTCATGGGATCTGGGTATCAGAATTCAGGTCATCAGTGTGCTTGGGAAGCAATCATGTCTGCTGAGCCCCTCACCAACCCTGCATAGCATTTTTACCTTTGCTTTTGTGAGTGGTAGTAGGGATTCTCTCTCTCATACTAGGCAAGCACTCTACCACTTAGCTGCATTATCTATCCCTATAAACTGTTTTAAACCACAAATTTATGGTTTTGTGTATTCAGATTTATCTTTTATGTCTGAGTTGTGTCTCATATTTACACTGTCCTTTCCCTTACTTTTGTCCTCATTCTACTTTAGGGCATGTGTTTTAATCTATATTCACCAGGTAAGCCATGCACAGGCTCTTTGTCTTTCTGATTTTAACATGACAGCTCTCCAGTTCGCCCTTTTTTCCTGAAGGTAATGCACTTTGCTGTATGATCAAGCCTTCTAGTTGGACATTCGGAAACAAAGTGGGATTTTCAGTCATGTGAAGCATTTCATTTAGTCTCTAGGCAGAGAAAATAATTTCTCTGTGTTGTGTCTGAAGCATCAGGGTGTTACCTGGTGGGTGGCCCCTCCAGCATACAAGTGTCTTGTCATCTCAACAGAAACATTCTTCATCTTTACTGCAATGGCTCTACAAGTCCTGGAGCTTCCCAGATTATAGTGTGCAATTTCTATACATTACAGTCACTTGATAGATAACGGATTTAAACCATGGAAATAATTTTATCATGGAATAGTTCTCCTTTTTCGTCCTACAGTTAAATCATGTTACTGATTTTATTTACTTACCACATTTTTTTGTTATTTTTGTATCATTGTTTCATAATGAGCATGTGTATGTATATGCCCCATTATATGCATATGGTTTGTTAGCATTTCAAAAATATGTCAGCATTCTACACAATTGTATCAAAAAATAAGCAGTTTTAGGGTTTAGTAACTAATGAGTTGATTGACTTTCATCTCAGATTTTTTCATGTTTCTTGTTTTGTCTCACTATGTAGCCTAGGCAGACCTCAAACTCACAATCTTCCCATTTCACCTCCAAAATGCTGACCACACCTAACCATGTTTATTGACTTTGAACTTTAAAAAAATCTTAATCACAGTCAGATATGGTGGTACATGATTTTAATCCCAGCATTCTGGAGGTAGGGGCAGACTGATTTCTGTGAGTTTGAGGCCACACAGGGCTGTGTAATGAGGTCTTGTCTTTAAAGGGAGGGAGGGAGGAAGGGAGGAAGGAAGGGAGGAAGGAAGGAAGGAAGGAAGGAAATAGTAAAAAATGTATCTAATTCACTTATCTTATGGAGCATCATAGCTTATCCAAGCCTGCCTTGAACATGTTAATGACACCTACATTAGCCTATGGTTGAACAAACTCACCTTACATAAAGCCCATTTCATACTGCACTGTTTGGTATCTGGTGAAATTTATTACATTCTTCATCCCATGGCTGCTTGGAAGCTGTACTGAGTGTTCTGCCTGTTCCTAGTCCAGGAATCAATCAAAATTCCAAGTATTCACCATCATAAAGTCAAAGGCTGTTAGGTTAGCCAATTACTTGGTTGGAGATCATGGTAATAATGTCTAAATGAATCTTGACACTCAGAAAACAGCATTTGCTTTTTTGGTAAATTATACTATAGAGGCTTAACACTAGATCAGATTTGCTTTTCTTGGGTAGCTCCCATTTTTGTTGTTTTTGTTTTGTGAACAGCCACTGGTAGTTAGCAAAATACTATTGCTGATAACATTGTTTCTTGTGGAGGGTGTCTAAGAGGGGAAGGAATTGATGATTGTGTTACAAATGCAGGAAAACATATTTTTGCCAGACCTCAAAACCTCCCTGAGAGGCTGCCCAATTCCAACCCTAGTTCTTAGTTTTCTTAGGTTACTCAGTGGCCTCACAGCATGGAGCAAAGAGCAGGTAAGGAAAGGTCTCTTTATCAAGCGACTCTTCCCCCGAAGTCTGTGTTTGTGAAGGGGATGTTTTAACGTAGTTTTCGAAATGAGGAACATATTACTAATTCTTTTCCTTTAACGAGTTAACAAAAAACAATTTTAACTAAAATTTATTTAGCAACAAAATTTTAGCAGATTGATTCAAAATTGACCCTTCCTTAGGGAAGCTGACAGAGAAATTTACATGAGAACCTACTGGTGTGTATAGTAACATACTCAAAGACTGAGGGTTTTCTGTGACTTGCTTATTTGTTTTTGTGGGGATGAGGGGTGGACCTGAGTCTGCAGTGTCATGTTTGCTGTTTTTATAAGTGTTGATCATCGTTCCTCACCTATGCATCACTCAAATAGGCCTCATAGTTTACACTCCAGCCAAGAGGAATGCAAGTTTAAGGCCTGTTACAGCTCTAGAGAATGAGTCGAAGGCCAGCTGGGCACCTTAGTGACACTGTCTGAAAATAGTAAAAAGTGAGAAGAGCTGAGGCAGCATCAGTGAATGGTGGAGCACTTGCTTGGAGTGCCACTCTACCCTAAATGGCCTCAGTGTAAATGCTCTGAGCTTGGGGGTCCTCAGCTTTTTGGAGACACAATGTTTGGAGTGATGAAGAAAGTGGAGCCAATGTTCCGGTTCTCTCAGTAACTTTAGGGGAGCCACTGAAAACTGTGTTCTGACTTAATCTTCCTACTGAGGAGAAAAAAGCAAAATTTGTTCCTTCTTCGTGAAATCCCGAAGTTACTGGGAAATTCTTTAAAATGGAAATTGTCATTTCCTCTTCAAGATTGTTGCTCTTGTGTCATTTTTATAATTTCTTCTTTGTTTTATTTGCCACTGCTTTACGCTAATAGACTTTAGTCATCTTTGTTTCCTAGAAATAAAAAGCCCACCCTCATTCTGTGTTCTTTGTCTGCTTTAAATATGTTTGTCTCTCTACAAAGCAGGTAGAATTCTGCACAAAGAGAATCAGGGGTGCAGGTGCTGTAGGTTGAGTCTTTCTTGCTTACTTTTAAGTTTACATTTCCTCTAAAATAGTTAACTCCAATTTAATGGACTTTTGAATTGTACTCTGTAACTAGAAACTATATTAAATTTATTCCTTTAAATGCTTATAACTCCTTAAATGTCTGTTCAGATAATAGCAAAGATTCAAAAGTCATAAATATTGATAGGTGATAGTATCTTTGTTCTTATATAGAAGACACATTTGAGGGAACAAAACAATGTTTGTATTATTGGGAGAATAATTAAATCATTGATACATCCATTCAGTGAGATAAAATTTAGCCACTTAACTATAATTTGTAGCAGTCACCTAATCCATTGGTAATATGAAGAAGACTTAATAATTAAAGAAGCTGGAAGCACTATACACCTGTCACCTTCATGGCCAAACCTAAAAAAGCTACTTTAAACCTCTTGGGAGAGCCGTTATAGCTCCATGAATGGACTTCCTACCCCAGTCATGTTTTCAGTGAAGTACAGTCATTAATCAATTTACTGCTTATAGTAAGTACTGAGGTCTTCTTCTGAATAGGAAAGATTTATTTTCCTGTCTCAGAAAACTAAGTCCCATTATTAATAGTTTTCATGGGCCTGAGAGGTGGCTCAGTGGATAAAAGCACTAACCTGAGTTTGATCCCTGAGGCCCAAAGCAGGAGGCATTTTGTCCTTGGACTACATTTGTGGGGTGGCACATCTTTTACACACATACACAAAATAAGTTTGTTTTTTTTTTTTAAAAGAGTCGTTCTTAAGCCAGTAACTGGCTGCTCATGGTTTTAAAACTATGGTTTTAAAACTTTCACGGAATGACTTTTGCCGTCTGTGAAAGAGCTCATCAACTCAAAGAAATTGTCATTTGTACAGTGATACATTTTGGAGATCTTATTATCATTCTAAATATTTTTAGAAACATTTTGAGCAGAAAGATCTCTTTGGCCCTTTCTGCAATATAAGATGCAAACAGTTAAGCTTAAAAGATTTCTGTTGTAAGAGTGGAGAGATGGCTCTGACAGTTAAGTATTTGCTAGATATGCATAAGGAACTGAGTTCAGATCTCCAGCATCTACATTAAAAGCAAGGTCCATTTGTGCACACCTGTAAGCCCATGCTGGGAAGGTGGAGAAGGGTTCCTGGAACTGTCTGACCAGCCAGAAGAGCCAAATCAGTGAGCTCCAGGTGTAAGTTTATTTCATTCGGGAACATGATGTGTTTGATAAGATCCACCCCATTGCCTCCCCTCCAGTTCCTTCCCTATCCCACTACAACTTTTTGATCCCAATTTTAATGTGCTTTAATGTATTCATGTAGTGCTGTCAGTGTGTGCAAGGCTATAGAGCCACCTACTACTGGAGCACTGGTGACCTCTCATGGGTTGCATCCCACTGACCCCTCCTCTCCCAGCATACAAGTTTCAGGGTATCTGAAGTGAATTTATTGTCAGCGTTTACTTTGGTACAAGGGAAATTTCCAACAAATCTCTGATTATCTCATCCAGTATCTCCATATTTTGAAATTAAGACTATGCACCACTGTAGGTCATGGTGAGGACCCAGATGTTTAGACACACTTTAAAATGGCTTTAGGCTCTGAGCTGTCTCTTTCTTTTTCAGCGGGCCCATATGGGATCTTTGCTGGCAGGGATGCCTCCAGGGGGCTGGCGACATTCTGCCTGGATAAGGATGCACTTAGAGATGAGTATGATGACCTCTCAGATTTGAATGCCGTGCAAATGGAGAGTGTTCGAGAATGGGAAATGCAGTTTAAAGGTATTGTCATTTGGAAAACTGAATATATACTATTGTAATGTTTTAAAGGACACCTTCTTTCTATTTTTATTTCCATCATTATTAGGATGTATTTTAATTAATAGTACTGTTACATGTGACAATTAGGTTGAAAAAGTCCGTCCATATTTGAAAATGTACTTAGCACCTAGTGTGGCACATGCCTTTGAGCCCAACAATCTCAAATTGCAATACTTTGAATAGTTTTCTAAGACTGGTTCATTAGGAAATGATTTTGTTTTGTTAAATACAGACGAGTTAGGGTGTAGCACAGTAGTAGACTGTAATGACCTCCTTATGCCCTGGGTTCTGTCCCAGTGCCTTGAGAACTACCACAACCAGGAACAACAACAAAAATGAATAGGTGATGTCAACACTATAATGATAATGTATTGCAAAATGATTTAATTGTTCCTAACTTTGAATGCTGGGTAAAGAAGGAATACTGTGCCCTCATAATATCAGCTTTTATCTCCTGTGTGACATTGCCTGAGCCATCTGGGTCTTTGGAGCAGCTCACTGAGCTTCTCAGCACTAGTCTTGGTTTTCCTGTGTGCAGAGCCCACTGCTAACCCTTTCCACAGCTAATCTACTTAGTCGTGGTGTAATTCACTTAGCCAAGGTTTTGCTTCCAGACAGAAACCAAGCATGTTTAACCTGCATACAAGATTCTAAATGAAACATTTGACACATAAAAGCAAACAAAGTACACATCTAAGGAGAGAGTTCGATCTGGGAAAGAATATTGATGTGGTAGGGGCCTTGCAGAAAGCCTAGAGAAATGAGTTACAAGTTTCCCGTCCCTACTACTTTGTCACATATTTCTCTCCAGAATATTCCTCAGATCTGTTTACCCTCTGGTTCTGCACCTCAGAGGCTGTGCACCCCATCTTCATTCAACCCAAGAAAGGCTCCTTCTGCATGGTTGATATTCCAAAATATTAGCCACGGAGTTTTGTAATCCACTGTTTAAATGACATAGAAATTTCCAATTATATATGTACATATGTGAAAAGGAACACAACCGTACACAGGATATGGTTATTTATATATTTATAAATGATGATATATTTATAAATGAGAACAACTCACACAAGAAGCCAATAAACCAGATTGGCACTCCAAGAAGTCCAGTCTCAGCCACACTCCAACAACCGACCAGAACCCCAAAAGAGGCCGAGCGCCTCTCCTCCTCAGTCTTTATCCTACCCCTCTACATACCTGTGACCATGCCCAAACCGGTGTGGTCAGCGGTACAGGTATCCAGGATCTCTCCCTATACATATGTTTCTGTGTGTAACCCAAATTGACTTCAAACTCATAGCAGATCAAGTCCTGGGACTGTATGTATCAACTACTATATCTGATTATATATTTTAGATGTAATGTTTTGAGTTATTAATAGTTAAAGGAATTGGAAACAGAGACAGGTAGATCTTTGTGAGTTCAGGACCAGCCTGATCTACAGAGTGAGTTTCAGGATAGCCAGAGTTACACAGTGAAACCCTGCCTCAAAACAAACAAACAAAAAAAAAGAGCTAAAAGAATTGGACTAATGGAGCTCAGGGGTAGAGTACTTGCATAAAGCTTGATCTTCAAACCCTAGCACCACAAAAACAAAGCAGCCACATTCCAAAGCTCTGAGATAGTCCATGCGTGTACATTTTAAAACTTCTAATAAGACCCACTAATACTGAACTCTTCTCAAAGAGCAGTCCTAAACCTTTCAGTCCCTTTTGCCTTCTGTTGAGGCCTTACATGCATATAAATAAAGCATTATTCTGTATGACTTAAGAGGCAAGAGCCTTCTTGCAGTATAGTGGAATCCTGAAACATTTTAACCATTACTGACTTTGTTTTTGGTGTATCTTTCAGAAAAATATGATTATGTAGGCAGACTCCTAAAGCCAGGGGAAGAACCATCAGAGTACACAGATGAGGAGGACACCAAGGATCACAGTAAACAGGATTGAACTTTGTGAACAACCAAAGCCAGGGGCCTTCAGAACTGCAACTCTCACTCCTTTCAGAGAATGTCCAGTCTTTGGGTGTGGTGCACCTGCTGTGAGAAACACTTCACCAGAGTGTACACTATGATGTGCTTCACTGTGAAGATCTGAATATGAGGCATTCATTATTTGCGCTGCCGGATGGATCTGTTGCAGTTGTTTGTAATGTCTGGTGGGCTTCATCATCCTGAAAAGGAGACAGGGCCTTCTTAACTGCAAGAAAGTCACCAGGTTATTTTTACCCCCTCACCTCCCTCTCTCCTTTCTCTTCCTTCTTTCTTCCCTCTTTTCTTTTCCTCCTTCCTCTCTCTGCCTTCCTGTTCCCCACCCCTTCAATATCTCTCTTTTAAAACAAAACAAAAAAGTATCAAAGACAACCAGATAGGTATTTGCTACTCAAGTGTACAGATCTCTGGAAACAGCAAGGGATCCTGTTTCACAGGCTGTTTTATTTGTGTTAAGGGAAGAACCCTGGGCAGGGGATTGGCGGTTACACATTCGTTTAAGAAGTCAGGCTACTGAAAAATTAAAGGTGAATTCCCAAACTTTTTTTTTTTCTGGGCTTCGTCAGGGAAGAGGGAAAAAAAAGTTTCCTTCTAAGAAAGATTTGGAAATTAGAGGGACTTCCAGTGGCTTGAAGTCAGCAATTTCCCAGCTAAGATCATTTGAAATCAGTTTTATTTCCTTCCCTTCCTTCCGCTAGGTCAAATCAATATTAATTGTGCCTTATTTCACTTCCATAAACTTGAATTATTTTTAGGAAAAGCCCCTCTGTGAATTCAGAAGTCACTACAAGCAGCATTGAGACTGAGGTTGATGTCATTCTGTATGTAGAATGTAAGAGGAATACTCAGTGTTAACTGCCATGTGTTAATACACAAACATAGCTAGCATTGTGATGGCCAAATGCATCCCCTATGCTTTTTTCTTTTCCAAGAAAAATTGAAAAATCAACAGCTTCCCCAACAGCTGCCTAATTTTAGGAGTCTGACCCTCACATGTCACTGGTGTGGGTGCGTGGGGCCGTGGTATGAATGTCTGTGTGGGTGAGTCTGATGTGTGTGAGAGCACCTTGGGAGGGACTCTTTCTGCGATGCTGTAAATACGAGTACCGTTTTAATAAAGCATGTACAATAAACCAAATAAGCTCGAGTTGGACTCTAAATGTAAATGCAGAGTGGTGAGCCAGTGTGTCATATACTACTAAGACTGCATTTGATTCAGGATGAGGAAAAAACTCTTGGAAATGAAAATCAGACACTGGTTAGCCAAGCTGTATATGTACCATGTTCAATGTAACTTCTGAAGCAATTCCACCCTGGTGGAACACTCCCAATGTGGGATCATTCAGGTAAGAAGTGGTGTATTACAGTGTACATATTTGTACTTAGGCTTTGAGCCGCTGGTTATGCTAGAAGCACTAGCCTTCCAAGCAGTAGCTGACAAACAAGCAGTATTACTGATAGCTGTTAAATCCCTTCATTGTTAGTTGGGAAAGTTCTACTTCAGAGCCTGCTTAGTTCACATTTTGGCTTCATCTTGATAGATTCTTGGTCAGGGACAAGTTGCTCCCACATAGGAAAGCCCAAAATGGGTGACATGAAAAGACTTGTGCCTGTTGGGTGTGTTATAAAGAAACCATCAAGATGGCGTGCCTGGTAAGCAGAAGAGTGCAAAATGCTACACTCCTATGCAGTCCTGGAATATTCTCTAGAAAAGTGTGGTTGTCACCAGATTCTGGCTGAAGAGCTCATGTGATGACTAAAGACTGTGGATAAATGGTTTCTTTTTTATGTAAAATATTTTCTAATAAATTGTTAAAGTATATATCCTCTGATGTAGTAAACTGGTGTATCTGAACCATTGGACCTGAAGGTTGATACTCTGCATCTGTGAGAAGCCTCAGGCATTCATGCAGTAAAAACAATGTGTTTTGTTTTTTAAAAGGAAGTGGTTTTGTGTTTTGGACTTGAAATAAACTGTGTTCTATAGATAATTTGGTAACTCCAGTCAAATTTCTCATTGTCAGGTAGCGTGGTACAGCAAGCAGTCTCGGAGGGATCTGTAACTGGCATGTTTACCCAAATTGCCTACTTGTTAGGAGTTTAAAAAACATATTCACTTTTTTTTCCTTCAGGGTTAAAATTCAGACCCAAAACTTCACACTTTGCTCAACCATTTAGCTACATCAGCTCTAAAGTATACACTCTTCCTACCTGCTGAGCCTAAATCCATTTGTAATGATTCTGATTCCTCCAATCATCCTTAGGATCTGACATGTTTGCGAAACACTACATTCATCTTCTGAAGTTTCATGCTCCTTATTTGCCATACAATAAAAATAGAATTTATAATTTTGGTCTGATTCCCCACATTTGTTTTTAAATACTTTTATATATGTTTGCCCTCGGAGGGCAGAAGAGGGCATCAGATCCCATGTTCCTGGGGTTACCATGCTTGTAAGACACCATATGGGTGCTGGAATTAAGCTCTCATAATCTGGTGGGCACACGTGGTTTTAGCCACTGAACCATCTCTCCAGCTCCCTACACTTGATTTTGACTTATTCAGCTTCTTTAGAGTACTGAGTTAAAAGTCATTTTTTAAATAAAATTAAGCCATGCTTTTAGAAGGCAGTAAAATAAAAAAAAAATTTTTGAAGGCAGTAAAATTTTTAACATTAGATTTTTGTCTCTTGCAGCATCCCCAAAGTCCCCTTGGAGTAGAAGTTGTGAGGTCCCCTGCAGGGGATAAACCCATTCCAATGAAGTTTCCCAAACCCTGATTGGTGCAGTTTTCCTAATTCTTCCCCTTCCTTAGAGCTGCAGACTTGATCATTCAGTTCTTTCCACAGGCTTCTAGGCTTAAGTCAGCATAGTGAATTAGCACAAGAACTGTGTCCTCTGCCAGGCATTGGTGGCACACGCCTTTAATCCCAGCACTCGGGAGGCAGAGGCAGTCAGATCTCTGTTAGTTCAAGATCAGCATGGTCTACAGAGTGAGTGCCAGGATAGGCTCCAAAGCTACACAGAGAAACCCTGTCTTGAAAAAAAAAAAAAAGAAAAGAAAAACCCCAAAACTGTGTCCCCTGGAAAGCAAACCAGCCTCCTCATCTGCACACCCCCCTTCCTTCTGTCTTAAGTGTGGCAGCTTGCTAGGTGTCTGCTTATAAGATGTTAACAGTGTCGAGCCTGACATCTCTGAGCAGTTGGAATAGACGCAGCATTCTACTTGGAAGATGTATACATTTCTTTGAGCTTGTTGGAAGAGTTGAGTACTTTTGCACTGAGATAAAAGTAGTTCTGATGCCTCTAAGGCAGAGTGTGGTCCACTGAGGTCAGCTGTTGACTGGGTAAATAATACTAATCATGACTATGGGGGAAAGGTCCATAATAACCAGCCACCGTTAGTCTTTGTGCAGAAAATATAATTGCCAGCCATTGTGAGGAACTCCACCTCTTCACAGCTGAGACACTGAAGAATCTTGGGCTGAACAACAGCTGTCCATCTGCCCTGCCTCTATTGAAGGGATCACGTGAGGTGCTGTGAGCACTGTCTGAACCTGCAGTGTTATTTGCACATAGGGCCCAGCCAGTCCTCCATAAGTTTGCAGTTCCCAGCCTGATGAATATCTACATGTGCCTTAAATGTGCTCTTTAGCCATTTCCAAGTGAAAGTGACAGTGCAGACTGTTCTGTACATTAGACTGATCTGAATTTGCTTAAAGGAGAAAAGAACAAACTTAGAAGATAAATTCAAAGTGTATTTTTGCTAATTATAAAAGTATGGATTTATCAAAAGTTGTAATTCAGCAGTTAACTGTGTCAAGCCCTTTTCTTGCCAACCTGCTCCCTTGTGTTTGGACTTCCAGGGCATCCTCTTAATCCAAGACTAGAGTTTCCCCAAACATCTCTGCCTAGCTTCCTGGAACTTCACATGTTAATATGTGGTCTCTACACCTGCTGCTCACTGTTGGACAACTGTGACCCCACCCCCAACCCAGTTTATCTTCCTACTTAGCCTCCTTTATTGTCGCTATATTCTTAGTACCTGTTGGCAATCTAACTTGAACGCACTGTGTCCCTGCCTAAAGACCTTCATTGACACCTCGAGATTGAAAGCGTAGGCCCACCATGCCTGCCTCCTCACCTACTTCACTAACTGCCACATGTAGCTACTGCCAACTTAATTTTGCTTTCAGAATATCCCAAACCACTATGTGCTCCATTTTTCAGTTCTGGGTTATATTCTCACACCCTTCCTGATTAACTTCCCTGCTAACTCCTTAAGGCAGAGCCAGACTCAAGTGCCCCCATGGCCTTGATAGCAGGTACAAGTGTAGCCTTGAAGTTACTATGTAATTATCTACCCTGATAATCCAGCATCCAGATTGAGGCTTCAATTTTAGGCCCAATATTTTTTTTTTCTCAGACTTTACTACACTGCCTAGCTACATAAAATGATTGATACAACTTTCAAATGAATTTGAGAGCTGAGAGAGTAAGCAATATAAACCAAGGCACCAAGGAAGCACCAGGGTTTTCAGAGAATGCTTAGAAGGCACATCTCAGCATTTCTTAGTTCTGTTTATTGGGTTTGAAATTAATTTGTTGCTTCAAGGAGAGGAGAGAGGTAGGAAAGAGAAAAGCTGAGGAGACTGTTGATGATGCCAAGAGTTGACCATACAAGGTTAAAATCTACAGGGCGTTGTATTCCACCCGGTTCGAGGCAGACACACTTCAGCAGTACAGCCTGGATCTGAGTGAGCCCAGGTGACCAGAATAACTTAATGTTACTCTGCCCTAGGGAAGTCATTTCTCATCACTGCCCCCACCTACTGGCACTCCTTATGGGGTCTAGTAGATACCAATGAGACATTAGAAAACAAGGTAACACTTCAGTTTGATCTAGAAGGGGCTGGAGAGATGGCTCACTGGTTAAGTACATGTACTGCTCTGGCAAATGACTCCAAGCTGCCATGTTGGATGGATCAAACTGCCTAGAACTCCAGCTCCAAGGGATCTATCCAATGCCCTCTTCTGAATGCCACAGCACCTGCATGCACACATACACACATAATTTTAAAATATTTTTTAAAAAAACAAACTACAGTGTGACAAAGGTAAATGGAAACTGGCCTGAACCTGGGGTGCTTTCCTGGGGGTGGGAGGAATCTTACTCTCCTAGGGGGAGAGACCTCTAACCTTACAGCAGTGAGAAGTAGGGAACAGGGAAAAGATAGAGTTAAGTCATGTCTCACGTAAGAAAGTTCTTAAAGAAGGGAGTACTTTGCTCCTGTCCATGTGTCGTGTAAGTATGGAAGTACCTGGGCCCTGGAGTGAGATTTCCTTTCTTGAGCCTTTAGTATCTTTAGGTGGCATACAATTTACTAACAAACTGAATTATCCTTTGGTAGTTAAACTGATAGTCTCAATAGGAAAACTGTTCTCTGCCTCCCCCACAGTTCACCCAGTAGTAACCAATGACGAATGTTAATAACATCAGATACTAAGTTCAGCATGCAGGCTCAAGGCATGGATGGTTTCCACATTAATGTTCTCAGTGCTGGGATAGTGAAGAGCTTGGAAGGCCTAAGTCCGAGCTCAACAACCCATGTAACCAAGCAGCCTAGCCTACTGGGCCAGTGAGAGGCCCTGATTAAGAAAGTGGATGCCGAGACCACCTGGTCTACAAGAGTTAGTTCCAGGACAAACTCCAAAGCCACAGAGAAACGCTGTCTAGAAAAGAAAAGAAAAGAAAAGAAAAGAAAGAAGGAAGGAAGGAAGAAAGAAAGAAAGAAAGAAAGAAAGAAAGAAAGAAAGAAAGAAAGAAAGAAAGTAGATGCCACCTGAAGGACAACACCTGCTATTGTTATTCTTTTGCTTAAATTACAAATTCGAGAGGTGGACATGGACCATAGAGAGCACATTAACCAGTTTATGGTAGGGTGGGAGAGCAAGAGGGGAGGGGAGAGAAATGGAAGAACAGAGCAGGGCAGAGAGAGAGTGAGAGGAGAGAGAGAAAGGAGAATAATGCTGCAGGTTTAAAAGGGGGAGTTCGTGCATGCGCACTGAGTCCCTACACAGCCCCATAATGAATGACATAGCCATGATGTGGCCATGCAACAAGGGCCCTTTAAGCTGCCTAGGTATCTGCCTGAACCTTTCAGCTATAGTGTTGGCAATTGGACAGACTCTGGAGTCAACTGGAGACATGTGTCTGGCCATGTTTATGGAGGATTGTCTTGATTACATCATTTAATGTGGGATGGTTCATCTTGACCAGGTGAGACCTGAGCATCATTGTGCGCTCATGGCTGTTTTCTAATTGTGGTTGTGATGTGACCAGCTGCTACAAGCTCTTGGCACCTCAACTTCCCCACCATGATGGACTGTATGTACCCTTGAGTTATCAGCCAGAATATATCTTTTCTCCCTTAAGTTGCTTTCATCTGAGTATTTTATCACAACAAAAGGGAAAGAAAGAAAAATTGTCCTCTGGCACACACACATTCTCCTCACTTCTAATTTATTTGGCTTCTGAACAAATGGTTGTGATTTCTAAAATTGTTTGCATAATGGTGAATCTAGTTAAGATACCAGAATTGGAACTGAGAAATTAAATTGTGAGGAGCTTGTGGTAGATGTCTTCACTGAAGAAGAGTGATACAGTCCACAGTGTGTTAACTAATTTTAACTAGCAGAAAATTGAAAATGCCAGATGACAGCACAAGTCTGGTATCTACTGGTTACTCCCATGGATTTGTTTGCCTTGCCTCAGTTGATCTTTCAACTGCTATAAAATAACTTGGAATCACATCACAAGCCAACTTGGGTTAAGCAAAATGAGTGACTGGAAGGAGTAGATACACCACACACATGCTGAGCAGAGGTTTCCCCAAAACAACCACCTGACTCTCTAAAGCCAGGGAATGCTTTGTCAGTCCTGAGTAAAAGAAAACCATGATCTAAGTATCACTAAATTTGCTTGGACAGC